ACAATGGTGGCATCCACGACGCTTGTCAGGGATCGAGAGCGCCCTTTTTGCGTTTAGAAATGGTGACGCTGTTCCCTAGGGATCGAGTTTGTGCTCAGCACATCAAGTCATTTCTTAAGTTGCGAACCTGAAAACCTTGAACATTTTCTAGCACCGCTCCTCAAAACCCATAAAGGCTGCGAGCCAAGGGGTTGGGTTCTTTTGATCTCGACGAAAGCCTATCTTTGTCCACATATGTTTGGAGCCCTGCTGGATTGATCGGTGAAAACTTTAAAAATCACGCACTGACGTTTCTTCGGTAGATTAGTCTTAAACACAGCAGAGAAACTATTCAAGGAATAAAAAATTTGTGGCAATGTAACGAACTTTGGATTTTAATCGGCACGCGCTTGAAAAATGGAAGCTTGATCAATAAGAAATATTTCACAGCCAACATCAAGGAAGTCCATTTTCCATTCTAGGGTTTTGCCGCCATAGGCGTTAACATCCAGTTGCGGCGTATTAGCGCCTCCGATGGATCGATCGCTCCTCGCAAGGTATTCTCGCGATGTCAACTCGATCTCTTGCTCTAAATGCGTCCCCGCGGCATCGACTTCCAATGTTCTTTGTTTGTTTCCCCCTGTTGGGCATTCACACCCCCCTGACACACCGCCAGAGCCGTCCATGTCCACCAAGATCGCGAGATTTTGTGTGTCATTCTTCTTTCTCGGCCAAAGCCTGGATGTAATGTAAGATCTCTCGCTTAAAGCGATTGACACATTATTTCGCAGGCTTGCTTCTCCAAAGCAACGATGTTTACGTGCTCGAGCGAGCAAAACACGAGCCTTGCGTGTGCGGGTACCACGACACTCCAGGTTCGTATGCATGGAAGCTCTGGGTTTCATTCTTTGCTTGTTCTTGTTTAGTTAGCCATGAACCTCGTAGTTAGTTCTTTTTTTTTTTTTTTTTTGCGGCTTCATTGTCTCGTTTCTTCTGTTGTCTAGTTACTCTTGAATGTTTTTTGCTTTGTTTTGTTGCGAGGTCGTCGTCTCACACCTTGTTTTCGCTGTGCAATCGGTTGGAGTTTGGTGGAGTAGCGAAGATGGCGCTGGAAACAGCCCGCGGGAGCCCTGCTTGGGCGAGAGAGCTAGACGACGACGCTTTAACTCCTCCGCTTAACTCCTAGCGATGGCGAGCGAGCGAGCGAGGTACTTCCATTTACTCTTTAAACAATCACAGAAGATTCGTTGTTGACGAGTGTCGGCGCTTTGGACTCGTCCATAGCCACGCAGGACAACGAAACAAAGCGCGATTGATGTCAAGGCTCTCTTCCATTGGATCGATCGCAGTTTTTCCATCGAGCGTGGCTCAAGCTTGTCAATCTCATCTCACGTAAGCATTTCATTTTCATTTCATTCTTGCTTGCAACTTGGCCAGGTCACTTGAGTCTTTTGTCTACTGACACCTCCAAGTTTCCAGGGACAGGGGTCGATCATCCTAGACTTTTTTTGCGTTCGTGCCGTGATCCTCTCAGAGCTCCTCCCAGTGGACGTAACGATTAAGCCTGTGTGGACAATGCGAGCTGTGCGTTAGCTGGGCGAGACATTTCCATCCATTGACGAAGCGGGCCAGTGATTTGTATAGCCCAGCCGCAGCAAACGTTGCTTTCACCCCAAGATTCCTTTCGGCGAGCTCCAACGTCAAATCCAGCGCAAAAACAAAGGATTGTCGAGGAGAAGTTCGCTGCGAGCGAGAACACCGGAAGAACACGTTAAAACTATTTGTTTAAGAGCTAAACTGGAGGTGTTAACATGGTCAGGCTAGTGAGTGTCGGTCGGTTAGCCAAGGTCGTTCTGTTATATTTTGTTAGAAAACTGCCACAGGACAGGCACAGGAATCGAACTCGCGGAGCCAACGTAAATATTCCCTGGAATCATTCGATATCATCTCGACACGGGCGAGTCTCTCCGTCTTTTTCTCTTTCTCTTGGACTTGGAGGGAAGGGAAGTTAGCTAAAAGAGCTAGCTCTTTCTCTCTGTCTAGGCTTTAGGGTTCTTCCTTGAGCAGCCACGACGATCTCGCCTTTGTCCCAGGGCTTTTCCAGTCCTGGCACACGAAATGTGCGCAAAGATCACCAGCTAAGGCCATCAAGATCTCTTTTCGTCCTCGCTCCAGGCGCGTCGGGCGTTCTCCCAGTGAAATTTCGGGCTGTTTGGTGATCGATTGCGACGAGGCAGCGGCCTCATCTTTGCCGCGCATTGTTCTTTCTGCCGCGCGCCAGGGCGCCGGTAATCGGGACTTTGCAGCGCTCTTTTCGATGCGGTGCCATTGATTCTTGAGCGGCACCCCAGGGGTGAAAGGAGATCGAAATATTTCGATCTCAAAGAAGGATGGGGAAGGATTTTCCAGCGTCGCCAAAGCTCCACGCGCCCGGCGGCGACAAGAGGTGCAATCTCTCCTGGATCTTTGGCGCCGGCGGGCTGTGCTTCTTCTTCTACATTCTTGGGGCATGGCAGCAGCAGCCGAGCTCCACCGTCAAGATCGACACCACGCGAGTTCATCTCACTCACTGCGATCGGCCGGAGCAGCAAGCCGCCGTGGGCGATGCCTCGTCGCTGGATTTCTCCGCGCACCACGCGGGAGGAGGCGACGATGATCAAGCCCTCCTCGATCTCGCCTTCGATTCCTGCGCCCTCAAATTCAGCGAGTACACGCCCTGTGAGGACATCGAGCGATCGCTCCGCTTCGACCGCGATCGCCTCATCTACCGGGAGCGCCACTGCCCCGCCCAAGCCTCGGAGCGTCTCAGATGCCTCATCCCGGCCCCTCCCGGGTATCGCAATCCCTTCCCCTGGCCCAAGAGCAGGGATTTCGCCTGGTACGCCAATGTCCCTCACAAGGAGCTCACCGTCGAGAAGGCGGTCCAGAACTGGATCCAATACGAGGGCGATCGATTCAAGTTCCCTGGCGGTGGCACTATGTTCCCGAAAGGAGCCGACGCCTACATTGATGACATTGGCAAGCTCGTTCCTCTCAAGGATGGATCGATCCGGACGGCGCTTGATACTGGCTGCGGGGTAAGTTTTCCTCCTTGCTTTATGGAAAACGTTTCGTTGGCTATCTATGATGTAAGTTATCGGCCATGGATCATGTAGGTTGCGAGCTTTGGAGCATTTCTTCTCAGCAGAAATGTCTTGACAATGTCGTTTGCCCCGAGAGACACGCACGAGGGCCAAGTGCAGTTTGCTCTGGAGCGAGGCGTACCGGCAATGCTGGGAGTTATGGCGTCGCAAAGGCTGCTGTATCCTGCCAGGGCCTTTGATCTCGCCCACTGCTCCCGCTGCCTCATTCCTTGGAAGGACTACGGTGGGTTTTTTATTCTTTCCCTCCCAAGCTCACGCCAATCTCACTCCCTGTCTAGGCTGCCTCTGATTTAGATCCCGCTCTTCCGATTTTCCATGCCAATTAATGCCTCGGCTTTGCAGATGGTGTCTATCTCGCCGAAGTTGATCGCGTCTTGAGGCTGGAGGATACTGGGTGCTGTCGGGGCCGCCGGTGAATTGGCAGACGCACTGGAAGGGCTGGCAGCGGACCCAGGAAGATTTGCTGGGCGAGATGACCGCCATTGAGGAGCTCGCGAAAGCTCTCTGCTGGAAGAAGGTGGTGGAGAGGGGAAATCTGGCAGTGTGGAGGAAACCAACAAACCATTACGATTGCGTGAGGAACCGGAAGAAGGTGTACAGGGATCCTCCTATTTGCAAGGCAGAGGACGCTGACGAGGCGTGGTAAGTAATCAAAGGTGTTTCCATTTCTAGTCATTGATATAGATCTCACTCATCGTGACTTCAGGTACAAGCCAATGCAGGCATGCATTACTCCACTCCCAGCAGTGGCCGAAAGATCGGAAGTGTCCGGCGGAAAGCTGGCGAAATGGCCATCTCGGGCAACCGAGGTCCCACCACGAGTTGCAACCGGACTGGTCCCGGGTATCACACCGGATGTCTACGAGGCGGACACAAAGCTGTGGAACGAGCGAGTAGGCTACTACAAGAACTCCGTCATTCCTCCACTGGGGCAGGGGCGATACAGGAACATCATGGACATGAACGCGGGGCTGGGTGGATTCGCGGCTGCCTTTGCCAACGATAACCGGGTATGGGTGATGAACGCGGTGCCACCATTTTCGTCCGGAAACGCGGACGTTCTCGGAGAGATTCCCCAGCCGAGCTCGTTCATGGACAACACGACGCTGGGTGTGATCTACGAGCGAGGATTCATTGGGGTGTACCACGACTGGTGCGAAGCATTCTCGACGTACCCCAGGACTTACGACTTCATCCATGCAAACCGGGTGTTTAGCATGTACAGAGCGCGGTAAGTTCTCGTGAAGCTTACAGTCTCTTCGTTTCTCAAGCTGGTTTCTTTTCTGGCAGGAACAAGTGCGATCTGGTGGACATCTTACTGGAAATGGACAGAATTCTTCGCCCGGAAGGAGCTGTGATCATCCGGGACGAGGTGGATGTTCTCAACAAAGTCAAGAGGATCGCGAGCGGTATGAAGTGGGAGAGCCGCATGGTGGATCACGAAACAGGGCCTTTCAATCGAGAGAAGATTCTAGTGTCAGTCAAGAGCTACTGGGTGGGAGAGTCCTCGGGCTAAAGAAGAAGAACTTGCGGCATTTTTCCCGGAAGTAGGGGGAAAGGATGGATGATTGATCGCTTGGACGACACCACAAAGAGAGAGAGAGATCGTCGTCTTTCTCTCTTCATTGGTGACCACAAAGTGTACAAAGCAAGAAATTTTAATGAAAGAATGGCATTCTTTTTTCTTTTCAAGGAATGGTCATTAGTTCGATTCCTGCCAATAACATTCTTTCCTTTATCAAAGAATGGTCGCCAGTTCAATTTCTGTTCTTTCTTTTTTCGAGACCACGCCGGGTTCGATTCCTTACACTGTCAGTCAGAGCAGCATAGATTGGAGGATTAAATGCGAGCCTCTCTGCCACGTCGAATGGGAGTGACAATGAGAGTAGCGCAGTGATGTGGGAGCCTCGAGGCCAGGGTTAGGGTGGATCACCTCTCAGCAAGGAAATATGGCAAGATCCATCTCCAAGAACGCGCAGAGCGGAGCTCAAGCCGCCGCGGCAGTCTTGGCGCTCGGCATTTCGAGATTCAAGCGCCTGGACGCGCTGTGCGGTGTCTTCGTCGTCTTCTCGCTCGTCGCAGCTGGATTTCTCATGTCGAGCTCGTCTCCAGGTATTTCCCCCCTCGCATTTCGATCGATCGGAGGCTAAGTCTCTCGGATTCTTGCACAGGGGATGTGTTCTTGCCGGTTCTTGGGACCAATCTTCTGACCGGGAGTAAATTGCGTGTCGAGGAGGCAGAACTCTGGGAGCCAGAGAGCGTGGATCATGTCTACATCCAGGACGTTGTGGCGCTGCCAGAAGAAGTCCTTCTGCTGATCAAGACCCCAGCTTCGAGCGATTTTCTTCGTCAGCGCCAGAGTCTGGGCTGCGTTCTCGGCGATGGGACGCTTGTTAGCGTCCAGGGGATGGATATGGACAATCGCAGGCTGGCTGTGCGCTGCAATTTCTCCTCCTCCTCCCAGGTCAAGATCGGCGCTAGTGGAGGCGTGGTGTCCCTCACGGACGTAGACAGCGGCCGGGCGCTAGTTTCTTCGCCACAGGTGGAAGCTTTGCAGTGGAACTTTCTGGTTTTCGAGGCTGTGGTCACGCCACTGGACGTTCTGGTGTTCGCGAAGGGCATCGTTACAAAGAGGGGCCAGCAGCGTCGTGTCAAGGACTTGAACTGTGTGTTTGGTGATGGAGTTGAGATCACCAAAGTCACCAGTGCTGCCCAGGAAGTCTTCCGCTGTGCGCATCCGCCATTGAGTTCTTGGAGGGCGATTGCTGGGAAGAAAGTGACGCTGAGCGTGGACAAGGCTCTGATGCCTTCGGTGGCTTACTACGAGCAGGGCCTCGGGGTTTGGAAGGCAGAGATGGAGGTGACAAGGAAGTACTTCCTGTGCTCGTGCACCATGGTTTTCAACGTGGCGAAGTTTCTGAAGGAATGGGTGATTTTCCACTCGGAGCTTGGAGTGGAGAGGTTTTTCTTCTACGACAACAACAGCGAGGACAATGTCACCGCGGTTCTAGAGGACTTGAAGCAGTACAACGTCAGCAGGCACTTCTGGCCTTGGGTCAAATCCCAGGAAGCTGGTTTTTCCCACTGTGCGCTTCGTGCTGAGGCGGAATGCACTTGGATGGTTTACGCAGACGTCGACGAGTTCATCTATCCGACCGCGTGGATCAAGAAAAACTCCCGGCCCCTCACGGCACTGGTGCAGAGCATGAGTTCCTCTAAGAGAGCTCAGAAGAAAGTTTTTGGTCTTTGGAGGCCGTGGCAGAGCAACAAGATGACCAAAGTTGGCCAGATCTTCCTCGGCTGCAGAGTTTTCGGCCCGTCGGGACAGAAGACACATCCCGTGAGTGGAGTAACCCAAGGCTACACTTGCCGGACGAGAAAGCTCCAGCGCCACAAGTCGATTGTGCTGCTGAGCGCGTTGGATCCCTCGCTGCTCAACGTCGTCCACCACTTCCAGCTCCGGCCGGGCTACGCCAACGCCAGCGTTCCATCGTCGAAAGGCGTCATCAACCACTACAAGTACCAGGCCTGGGACGAGTTCCGGGGCAAGTTCCGGAGGCGAGTCTCGGCCTACGTCTCCGACTGGAAGCAGAAGAAGAACTTGGACTCCAACGACAGGACTCCCGGCCTCGGCACCCAGGAAGTGGAGCCTGTCAACTGGAAGCACAAGTTCTGCGAGGTGAACGATACGAGCTTGAGGGACTACGTCTTGCGGGAGTTTTCGCAGCGTGGCAGAAGGGGTGTAAGGAAAATGGCGTGGCAGTAGCAAGCTCCTCTCGTGGAGGTAATTTTGCTGTCAATTCTCACCCACGGATCGACAGAACAACCGCGACATGTTTTTGGTGGAAGCAGCGAAAACGAACAGCTTGATAGCGACAACGTCTGCTCAGTGAAGAGAAGTTGCGAACGATCGAACTGGGTATTCAACCGCGACATTTTGGGGGAAGCAAGCTTGAGAGCGACAACATTTGCTCAGCGAAGAGAAGTTGCGAACGATCAAACTGGGAATTGATTGCGGAGACAATGCCTGTCAACCAACAAAGGTAACTGTCACTGATCTTCCCAGTTGTCGATACTAAAATGGTGAAAAGTTCATGCCAGATCTAATTTTGCGTTAGAACAAATTCAAATTAAGGAATATGCTCGTGTTTGTCCTTTGTTAATTTGCCCTTTACACGTGGCAGCCGCACAGAGGTTTAGGGTTCTTAGGAAGCAATGGAAGCGATATTGGTCTCAGCGGGAGTGCTGCTGCCCTTCCCATTCTACGCGCTTCTCTGGATGCGGCCCTCGCTATGGACGCGCCTGTGCGGTGGAGCAGATCCGTGCCATGCGATGGCGCTCGCGTCCACGGCAATGAAGGCTGTGCAGTTCCTGGCGCTGGCATCCGTCGCTGATTTCTCTGTTTGGCCGCCGCTGTGGGTGTGGATTCCCATCGCTGTGGGTCAGGCATTGAACATCAGGTGTGTATCTTGAAAGATTTGGGAAGATTTTGCTCACTGTCGGTGTCGATTGATGGTTTCAGGGTTTATCAGCTGCTTGGCGAGGATGGAGTCTACTATGGCGTGCGCTTCGGCAAGAGCATTCCCTGGGTAGACAAGTTTCCATTCGGATACTTGCGGGATCCGCAGTACTTTGGTTCCATTTTGAGCTTGCTTGGCTGCGTTTACTGGATCCCGTTTCGATTCATCGCTCTGTGGTGTGCTGGCTACTTGTTTATGATGTTCGTCGAGAGTGCCGAAGATCCTTCCACTCGAGCCAGGAAGAACGAATGATCGAGCTTGAGATCAATTTTACATTCTTTTTCTTTGATCTGTCGACACGTCCATTTTTTCTAAGTTTTGATCTCTTGTGATGGCCACCTTGATAGTTTTCGTCATGGCGGCACCGGAAGCTGCCAGCTCCTTAGGAAGGATTTATTAAGTTCCAGGTACTGTGGACTTCTTTTCGTTTTTCCTAACGGATGTTTGCCTGGAAGACAAAGCGTAAACCATAGATGATCGCACTGACTCAAATCTTCGCTAATCGACAACATGTCACAAGTTGTGGTTCTTATGGATTCTTACTTCCTTTTCACGCATTGCTAGGTATGGGACTGTGTCTTTTGCACAGGGAAGCTGTTCCCGTCAGAGTCTCACGGATTATACTGGAGCAGTCGGGTTCCACTAGTGCTGCGCAGATGCAAGTGGGCTACTTCACCAGGGAAATTCTCTTTGCTAAACTTTCGAACAAACGAAAACGGAGAGAGAGAGAGAGAGAGAGAGGTAAAACTAAAGCTTGAATGTGAATGACAGCCTTAGCTCAAGAAGAGCTTGAGTCGATTTGTAGAGCTCCAAGCTGGTTTTCTCGCTACGTTTCCAGCTCGCTATCGCCGAGGCTGTCGAAGCCTTCGAGATCGTCCGCCTCTGAGTGCGAACGATTCTTCGCTTGCGAGTCGGCTTTTTCTGCCCGATACGATCGAGATGGTGCTCATCACGATCGGTCACGATCGATTTGGTCCCTCGTCCAAGCTAAAAATAATGGAGCTCATTGTGTGGAAAACTGAAAACGAAAGCACGTATCGTTACGTTGGCCGAAATATGCTTTGCAGTGCTCGAGGGGGGCAGTGTTTTCCGAGATGCATGACGAAACGACTGCGCAACCGCTTGAATGATGAGAACTTCAACCCAAAAAGTAAACTTTCAAAATCGCGATTCGACCACCCAACCGACTGTACTGGCGCATCAAGCAAGGAGTCAAGCTCGTCTCACGGGTTTCTCGGGCGATGGTATAGAATGTGTCAAAAGCCTATAGTAGAAACCATCTCTTCACTACGACTGCCAGGGAAGCTCCAACTTGTCCGGAGAAGCCATGGTTTTGAGAATGTAATCCCGGAGCCCGGTGTCTTGGACCTCGCAGAAGCGGCGCTCCCAGTCGGCGGGCTTGTCCGCCTTGCTCCCCAGCCCGGGCGTTCGATCCTGCGACTTGATGTTGCGCTCCTCCTTCCAATCGCTCACGTACGCCGACACCCGCCTCTCAAACTTCTGCTTGAACTCGTCCCACGCCTGGAACTTGTAGTGGTTGACCACGCCCTTCCACGACGGCATCCTCGCGGTCGCGTAGCGTTGACCCAGCGTGAAGTGGTGGACCACGTTGACCAGTCCCCGGTCAACGGCCTCCAGCCGGACTAGTGACTTGTGGCGCTGCTCCTTGACCACACGACACGTGTACCCCTGCGTGACCCCCGCCGTTGGATGCGTGGCCTGCCCGGATGGCCCGAAATCGCGGCAGTGGAAGGAGATCTGGCCGACCATCTGCGAGCGATTCCGGGTGGCGGCGGCGATCGCCCGCGCTAGAGGGGACGATCCGACGGTCCCGGTTGCGTTTGTGGATTTGGCGCCGGAATGTAGCCAGAGCTTGGGGAAGAGGAACTCGTCCACGTCCACAAATGCCATCCACTGGCATTCGTCCCTGCGGCTGGCGGCGCAGTGCGAGAAGCCGGCTTCCTGGCTCTTGATCCACGGCCAGGGCACGATTTCCACCGCCAATCCATCGCGATTCCGCAGTTCCGCCGCCGCCTCCTCGAGCCCGTCCTCGCTGTTGTTGTCGTAGAGAACGAATTTCTCGATCCCAAGGCGCGAGTGGTAGAGCATCCACTCGCGCAGGAACTTGGCGGCGTTGTGGACCATCGTGCACGCGCATAGCAAATGCCGGGGCCGGGCACTTTGCCCCTCCCTGGCGGCGCCGCCGTAGACCGCCACCGACGGCGCCGCGGCGTCGCCCCCTGTACCTTCTCCTGGAACCACCGACACCAGGCTGCCCCTAGATCTTCCCTGTCCCGGCGGATATTCGCAGCGAATAATCTCTTGAGCGAGCCCGAGCACGCGAGTGTATGTGACCGCGACGCCATTGTCCGTGTAGAAGACGCATCTCGCGCGCTTTGGGGGAGTCTCCTTCTTCACCGAGAAAATTCCCTTTGTGAAGAGCACAAGATCTTCTTCCCTGGCCAGCGCCGCAAAGACGATCCTGTTCCAATTCACGAGCTCCAGCGATCGGCCACGGCTCCCGAGAGTGATCTTGCCGTCGCTGGATTGAATCTGGGCGGTGGCGACCAGCGGGGATTGCAATGGGAGCTGCTGGTCGATTGCTCGGCACCGGATCATCCTCCTCCCGCCATCGCCGCGAAGATTGTCCACAATCCTCGCGGCGATGGGCCTCGGTCCCGACGGGAATCTCAAGTAACAGTGACCCTTTGCGAGGTCCTTGACGATCCTCTCATCTCGCGCCGAGGATCTCGAGACAATGAAGAGGAATTCGTTGTCTGGGAGAGACACGATATGGTCAATTTTACTGTTGATCGCGTGGCTCTCCTCCACGATCTCTTTGACAACCCTGTTGGCTTCACCTCTAATCTCCCGAGGGAGGAACTCACCAACGTCGCGTGATTCCGATCCCGGGCGCATTGCCAGCAGCGCGATGATGGCCAGCGCCAAGACTCCGCCATAGACGATCTTCCGCCAGGTGCTATGCCCTCCCCTGCTCTTCATGATCCAATTATGCCAAATTCGTCCTCGCCCTCGCTTCTCCGCTCCCGCTGCGTCGCGATCGAAATCCCCGCGCTGCTCTTCTTTCCCTTCCACGCATTGCGCGAGGAGGAGAAGTCATCCATGGCAAGGCAAGCGCTATCTCTCTCCCTTGGGACGCAAGGCATGGAATATACCCCGCCCCACTCTAAGGAGCCCCACGCACCAATGTTGACGTGCGCACACTCGAAAAAGTGTTAGAAAATTCTCACATCGTTTTGGTCAAGAGATTAATAAAAACAAACGGAATGTGCTTTTTGAGGAGACAGAATATGCTTGAAGGGGCAAGAGACTGAATATTCCTGAGCGGTATATGCCAAGGAGAGGCATATTCGTTTTTTGGGCTTTAGGGTTTTTAGTGGATCGTCTTCGCTGCGCAAATGGGAGAGGTATGCTCTGTGATCTTGATCTTGCTCCCTGCTCTCCAGATCTGACTGATTCTCCTCCAAACCCTCGCGCACAGCTGCTGGATCCGTTCGTGAGCAACATACTGCTGCTGGACGACGAGGGCAAGCGCGTGGCCGTCAAGTACTACAGCGACTATTGGCCCAACAACGCGGCCAAGCTCACGTTCGAGAAGTCGGTCTTCACCAAGACGCAGCGCATGAACGCCCGCCAGGAAGGTGAGCAAATAGAGAAAACTAGGCCGAGTTTTTCCTTTTCTCAGACTTCTCCCTTTCGCAGCGGAGATTGGCTTGTACGAGGGCCATGTCGTGGTGTTTAAGTTCGTGGCCGACCTCTACTTCTACGTGACTGGCAGGGAGGACGAGAACGAGCTCATCCTCGCGACTGTTCTTCAAGCGTTTTTCGACGCGGTGTCGATTCTACTCAGGTGAGTTCTTCCGCCATTGCTACACCTTGAAACGAGGCTTCGATCGCGTGTAGAGGCAATGTGGACAAGAAGACGGTCCTGGAGAACCTGGATTTGATCCTTTTGTGCTTGGACGAGATTGTCGATGGAGGGTGAGTCTCCTTTTTTCCTTCGTTTTGTTTCTCTCATTCTCATGCTGGCGTTGTTTTGTTCTTGTTGTATAACCAGCACCATTTTGGAGACTGATGCCAACAGCATAGCTTCAAAGGTAGCCATGCGCGGCGCGGAGTCCGACGTCCCATTCTCAGAACAGGTGATTCTAACAATTCCCTTTGCCACTGTCCTCACTTTTGATTTCTTTTCCAGACGTTTTCTCAAGCACTTGCTACAGCCAAGGAACATCTAACGAGATCTCTTCTCAAGTGAATTGTTTCTTTCGATTGCTTCCATTATGGAATCCAAGCATTAGTTCGGGTAACTTAAGCTTGCAAGAATCAATCGTTCTATAAAATAGCCATTCTTTTTTATTTCTCAATCAAAACTGTTAGACGTGCTATTGGTTGCCGGAGTTGTATTGGAAGCGGAGCTTCTCCGCAAAGTTCCTGTAGAACGTTTTCAAGACCTTGGGATCCGATCGCTGTAACAACCGCAAGAAGAATTTAAAAACACACACTCGCACAGCGCTCTACCTGAATGTGCAAGCAATACTCCTCGGCCATGTTCGGCGGACAGCGAACAGCCGGGAGGACTTTGGTTGCCATCTGTATCAAAAAGTCTTCGCCACACCTCTCATACAAAGTCTTCTGCGCGGATGCAATCTCATTGAGCAAGGACACCTGGAAACGAATTTAGAAAACGATCAAACGCATGGGAATCAGTGCGAAGTAAATGCAGCTACCGTATTGGCATCGTTGAGGTTGAACGAAGCCTGCAGAATACTTCGGATGCAGCAATCTGCGGCAAACCTGTCAATCACGAACCGGTGGAATCCAGGAACCTGCATAAATGCACGACTTTGAGAACATTCGTGTTATCACAGTGGAAAGGTTTTATCACCTGTTCCACAACTGTGCTGGTACCGCACCAGTCCAACGCCAATCTAGATAAGACTTGTACGCAAATCTGCATTGCTAACGAGCTCGTGAGCAGCATAGATGACAGATGACAAAAGGACATACCTTTCTCACAAGTATGTCCTTGTGGCCGCAACTACTGTCTAACAAAAGTAGGATGATCTCATTGAGCCTTCCACCGGTTTGGAAACGGAGCACCGAAGAAAGGTCGTTCGACGTAACCGCATGCAAAAAGTTAAAAAATGCCTTTTGTAGCTCTTGAAGCTCGCGCATCTCCTAAAGAAGATCGTCGATTAGTCGAAAATCTCGGAAAACAATAATGCATACCTCGGTATTGCTGACAACATTCTCCGGAATAGAGCCCTTTGGAAGAAGAAAAAATACCCGATCTACGACTGAAGGAAAAATCTCCTGAATGATTGTGTTCATAGCAGATTTGAATTTGTTTATGAGTTGGTTAAGCAGCTGGATGAACTCCACCAAATCTTTGGACTGAAAAGAAACCTTTTGATATCACTTCTAGAGAAAAAATAATACAAAATAGTTACCTCGCTTTGCAAGAGCAGCTGCCGTATCGCAGTTGGCAAAATAGGGAATACTGAACTACCAAGAATGTCTACCATCCGGTGAAGAAAGGAAATAACCTGAAAGAATGTCACAGGATAGAGGTGAAAATGCTCGTTTCATTTTTACCTTGCTTCTGAGAGCATCAACTCTGGGATACGCGAGAAGAATTCTCAACACGACGTCCACGGACTAAATATCAAACACATCAATTAGATAAGAGAAAAATGACAATTGACAATGAACCAACCTGTTTGAACGTGTTCCCAAGTTCTGGACGACTATTCACAAGCAGCTGCTCTCCAAAACCCTGAAAGACCGCGGTAAGTCCCTAGGTCGAATGCAAATCGCACTCACTTTGCTAAAGTGATTGATAGCCAGCACGATTTGCTGCAGAAGTGCGACGGTGGCAGCCTGATTACCATCGGCATAGGAGACCTTGCTTGCCAATGTAGACTCAACCTGGAAGAATTTTCAAACTCATGCTCGTTTTGAAAAGAACGTGTTACCAGTTGGTAGAGGGGAAGAAGAACGGCCGAGAGATATTTTTCTTGTTTATCACGCGGTAAATCCTCCGCTCCAATAAGAAAGCCAACAGCCTGAAAGGCACATATCAAGCTACCTCAAGCGTTTTCGTATAAAATACCTCGAAAGTGTAAAATTTCTCTTCTGGAGATGATTTTTTTGCCGAAATGCACAAGGTGTCTTGCAAACTCTGCAAAAGAAACACGAAAAAACGAGTAAAAATCGAAAAGAAGAAGAGAGTTCAATGAAAGAAAAGAAACACACCTGTAGGATGCTGTCGACATAAGGAAGCAACTGCAACCGAAGAGTTCTCACCAGCCTCGAAAATAAATAACCTGCTTTGGAGCTGACATTAGGATTCGGGTGGTGAATCCCTCTGCCATCCAGAAACGCCCCAAGAACAGCAGGAACGTACGCCTCGTGGTGCTGTACAAACTTTACGTATCTGATGACTGTTTCCAGAAAAACGATCGCCACTGCCCGGTGCGACGTGCGGGGAACAGTCATTGTCAAAATCGCCCCGAGCATCTCCGGCAAGTCTCCACTGTCCGCCTTCAAACTACTCTCAGGAACGCCTTCCCCGAGGCAATACAGCAGCGTGAACCCGGCTTCAACCTCCTCAAACGGCGTCCCGGAGCTTCCCAGAATCGAAACTAGCACACCCTTGACGAACGAAGTTGTCACCTCCGGAGCAACTCGGTAGACGCTACGGAACAAAACGAGGAGCTCCTTCCGGTACTCGTCCATCCTCTCCTCCTCCTCCTCCCCCTCCCGGTCAAAAACATCCAGAGCATCCTTCATGTCGGCACTGTACCGCATCCTGTACCGAATGAGCTCCAATATGTGCCTCAAGTGAGTAGCCTGCTTCCCGGTGGCCGACTTGACAAAGTTGCTGAGAAACAGGAACGTCGTCGAAGATATATCCTCGTCACCGTGCTGCATGAAGTAGAAAACCGATGGAAGGATCTCGTCTAGCATGTCGCCCGTGTCACGCTCCTTCCCACACTCCAAAATCTCCGCAGCAAACCCAGTGAGAAGAGCGCTAAGTTTGCTCCCAAACTCGCCATCCTCGGCGCTCGTCAACCTCGCGCAAACTGGTCCCAAACGGAGCTGGCGCAGGAGCGCAAGCTTGGCCGACGAATCCATCCTCTTGGACACCACGGCCAGCAAGCAATCCGCGGCGGCACCACGGAGCCCCCGGTTCTCCTGCGGCGAGACGAGGATCTCCAGCATGAGTGGGATAAAGCTCTCGTTCGCCACCAATCCAATGTCGATCCAGGAAACATACCTTTGCATCGTCTCGAGCACCAGAGCCGCGAGGTCGGGCCTAGCGGACCTGTACACCGCCACCAGATTGTACCACGCCGCCGCGATCTGGCCGATGCACTGCTGCCGCATCGCGTCCTTGATCCGGGTGGCGAGGGCCAGCTCCGCCGGCGATCGCTGGAACTCGAGGCTGATCACTTCCTCGTCGAGGGCGATGAGGATCCGGCAAAACATGTCCACCACCATCGGTCCCTTGGAGAGGAAGGAGATGAGCTCCACGAACGCCCCCGGCCACTGGGATGGATACTCGATGCAGAGGAGGAGCACCACCACCTGGGCCAGCTTGTTGCGGATGAAGGGCGGCGCCGCTGGAGCGCTGCTGGCGTCGCGATCGTAGAAGCACACCGCCGCCAGGAGAGACGATCGGATGAGGTGGCGCTGCTGCGATGCGAGGGAAGAGTAGCGCTGCTTGACGATCTCCTCCAGCGCCTGGAGGCACCAGAATTGGACCTCGGCGTACTGCGAGTAGCGGAGCTTCTCGACGCAGGCCTGGATTATCGTCGGCGATTGCTTGGCCTGCTGGACGAACGCCGTCGCCTGCGCCTTGAGATTGGCGTCCACGGTGGGATTGAAGCTGAAAAAGATTGCCTTCTCGAAATCGTCCATATTTCTTCTTCCCGGAGAAGAATCTCTGCCGGATTGCTGCTGCTGGTGGAAATCTCTGG